GGACCGGGACAACAGTGGCAAATTGATTTTTCAGAACTTCCAAGAAAAGGGGGGTATCGATATTTACTGGTATTAACGGATACCTTTTCAGGTTGGCCAGAAGCATTCCCCACTAGATCTGCCAAAGCCCGGGAAGTGACAAAAATATTAGTACAAGAAATAATTCCACACTTTGGGGTCCCAGCAACTATATCTTCAGATAGAGGACCACACTTTATCTCAAAAGTAGTTCAGCAAATCAGTAGCCATCTGGGTATAGACTGGCAACTTCACATTCCTTATCGTCCCAATCTAGTGGCCAGGTAGAAAAGTTGAACCATTTGATTAAACAGCAAATAGTGAAACTTGGACAAGAGTCAAACCTGACCTGGCCCCAGGCACTCCCTCTGGCACTTTTGCGCATACGAGCAAAACCGAGGGCCAGGGAAGGGTTGAGCCCTTTTGAAATGTTATATGGCAGACCTTACGCGGTACAGAAAGGAACATTGATGCAAGTTGGGGAGGAAACTATGACTTCATACATGATAGCATTAAGTAAGCAACTCAATAAAATCGGGAAACATGTATTTGAAGCTCAGGGTAGAGGGTTAGATGGGCCAGTACATAACATTCAGTCTGGAGACTATGTGTATGTTAAGTCTCTTACAGAAAAGACGTTGGAACCACAATGGGAAGGGCCGTTCAAGTGCTACTCACAACGTTTACGGCCATCAAGATTAAAGAATACTCAGCCTGGATTCATCACACCCGAGTAAAGAGGGCCCACAAATCCCCATGAAGGTTACACAAACTCAGATGGGAAGACTACGCTTCTCATGATAAGTCTAATAATCTCCTTTCCCTAGATACCCGGTCAAAGGTTCGCTGAATGGCCATGGTCCCAAGCGTACATTGGGTATACTGGAAGCATGGGTATAACCAATACTAATTCAACTTTGACTTTATCTACTATAGTGATGCAGGGAATAGAGGTGTATACAAAAAATGAATGGAAAGACGTCAATGGAGTACCACAATTATGAGGAACAGTAGGGTAAGAGATTATAGTAGGGTGTCGAGTAATGAATGAAATCACCCATTGGTCAGTGCGTCAGATTACAATATCTGAGATCAAGATCTTAAATCCCAAATATATTGTGTCAAGTATTGGTCATATATGTGATCCAAAAGATCTAGAATGCTAGTATAATTTTACTTTGACTCAACCTGGCGGTCTCTGTGACATGTCTCTGGACTAAGAATAAACTAGGGCTATCCTTTAAGTTTAACATGGTGACTACTCTAGTGACAACCACAACTGAAAGCACGGTGACCATGACAACCACAGCAATCACTGTAAATCTTACACCCAACATATACGAGGTCGGCCCATACGTGATCAGACACCTAGACCAACAGCAAGTGCTGATCAATCCAAAATGGTCTCTAAAAAAAGTAAAATTACAGATGCAAGTTAACATTTCTAATACAGAGCCACGTTGTTTCCCCTTCTTACGGACCTCAGATGGACAACTTGGCTAAGGAAAAAGGGAAATGCCTACCGGAAAAGACCACAGAAGGACCTAACCAGAGTATTAGGAACCGAATTGGAAGTGTTAAATTCAATAGATTCAGAAGTAATAACAAACAAATTAGCATCTACTGCAAGGGATATATCAAAATTAAAACAACCATTGAGGTCTTCACTATCAGCATTAGGGGTACATCAATGGGCAATGTCAAAAGTAATGCCAGATTGGGAGCAAAAAGAAACAAAGGACTGCACACTTATTGCTGAAACCTTAGGAGCATTATAAGGTGATATCGCCGTAGCTCTAAGTTACATACAAGCCCAGTTATAGATGCAAACTGTAGCAGAATCTGTAATAAGGGAAGGAGAGGAGGGTACACTTCCCACTGAAATTAAAAAAATAGTTTGGGATAGTGCCACAGAGACAAAGTTACAATCATGGTGGAATATGGTCAACTTCACCAATAGGCCTGACATGCATAAAGTAACGACTTTTGTGTTAACAATACATGATACAAAATTAATCACCATACACCCCATTGTAAGTCTTGGAGTCAATTACAATGGGACTCTGCTGTACCCCTTTGAACATAAGACCTGGGCTACGAATACTGGTAATAAATGGCAAGCAGTAGATCTCGAACCCTGTATCATGAAAGAACAACAGGGATTTATATGTGAAAGTAATATCTTAATAACCCAGGATACCTGCTTAGATACTGACCAAAAGATTTGCCACGTTGAAGCACACCCCAACGTAGATTTGAGGACCATTGTTGTCTATACTGGAAAGGGATGTGCATGTTTAAGGACACTGTGTGACACAATAACCATAGATGGGCGAGAGAAGAAATTGATACAGCATCTAAATTATTGTATTTGTAATTTCACCATCATCTTGGGGCGCGATTTCACTTATTCTGCCCCAGTGGTTACACATTCCCTCTTGAAAAGCAGCCTCAGGGTAAAGGTACTTACTGTCCCCATAGGCTTAAATGTCAGTCATATAGAAAGCCTATTAAAACACCCAGACTTACACCGGATACTGGAAGAAGTTAAGGAAAAAGGGCAAGAAACTTTACTCACAACCTTTCATGATGGGGAAAGGATAAAAAACGTCTTAAAGATGGTTGAGCAGGAAGGGAAACATAATTGGTGGGATACACTCTTTGGATGGTCGCCGACAACTACTGGAATCTTAAACACAGCCCTTCACCCAGTGGTTGCTTTATTAATATCTGTAGCAATCTTGTTAATCCTTACTGTAGCTATATATGTATGGATCTGGAGACTTACAAAACGCTTGCAAGCTATGTATGATGCTTTATATCACAATCCAAGCTTTAAGCAATAAACTAACTAATTTGTAGGATAGTACTAACATATTATTGTACAAGGGAAATAGATTAAGAAGTAGATAAATAAGTAGTAAAAGAATTTACTAAGTAAGAAGAAAAGGGGGGAATGAGACAGGGAGTCTAAACAATCTTAGATTGATAGTGCAAGGCCTGCGCAAAAACAAGGGGAGGCGTATGGGACTGTTCGAAAAGACATACCAAGTACTGATAACGTTGCTAGGCGATTAACTCCTAGCCCAAAGAGAAGTCCCTCCTAGTCTTTGAAAAACAGACAACCCCAAAACATTGGTCTGGAAGAAAGCCAGAGAACAACTGAGGCTGCGCAGAGCGATAAGGAGAAAAGTTCATCAGCGAAGAAGAAGAGGAGACCTGATTACCCTGAGAAGTGAGGGGAGGCGGGGGTAGACTATGTATATGTATAGGTGTTTTATGAATATGCACTACTTTGTAACATATAAGCCGGACGGGAGCTGCAAACGATGCGCATGCTTGTGGTGGAGCGATCCCCCATGCGCCCAGCGCTGAATAAACATACCCACTTTATAACCCCAAAAGTTATAGAGTGATTTCTCCGCAAAACAGGAGTTTCTAATAAAGTCAAACACTTGGGGTTTTAATTCTTAATATTTGTAAACAAAGGAAGTTGAATACACACATTCTTGTAGCATTTCATCCTTATTAACTACATTTTGTCTAAGCTGCATCTTTCACTAGTGACTATATATTTCATTAAGTAGTTGCAATTACTTCAGCATTTTCTCTTAAAAGATTTGGCAACTGTAGAGTGATTAAGGACAAAAGCAAGCATTACCCATACATTCTGCTTTGGTTGTTTTGGGATCCAGAGGATAGTCAGTCTACCTGTGAGGATAGTGCTGGCCATGAGACAAGGCAGGCCACGCTTATCTCTCTGGGATCCACTATGGTCTGCTGCTCAGCAATATGGTTCCTGGTTTTGCACTTCGGTTAGCCCAGTTTCTTTATCAATGTTTATTCCAAATTCTTCTGCACTGTTTACAACTCCCAAGGTTTACTGCCAGCTAATTCAACAAGGTCACTAGCGGTGTTATGTTCCAAAGACAGGCCAGACATCGATCCAGCATAGTTAAGGCCCACATCTTCCTCTTTCTTTTCTACTAAGAACACGGTCCATATTGCTTTATCAATCAAGCATTGCACACATTGTAAAATACATGGTATACATATAATAATACATAAGAATATTCCTACAAATATCAAACTTGATTTTAAGATAGACTTTTAAGACCGCCACTTATTCCCCATCCCCCTAAAAATTCATGAAGTCACCTATCTTGAACCTGTAATTTGGAAACATGTTCCTTCAAAAGTTGTATACTCTTGTGGCCAGATTCCAAATGATCTGACAAGTTTATACAACACATGCCTTCAAATTCTTCACATCCATGTCCCTGGACAGTTCTTGCAGAACAGGCCAACTATCCACAAGAACAACTAGACACATTGTGAAAGGATTCTCAGATGTTGTGGTTGCGAGACACAGTGAATCTTGTCCTGTCATGTTGACTAGAGTGATCCATACATTGGTCTTCGGTTGCGGAGGTATCTAGAATGTCATTCATCCTGCTAATACACAGGTGATGATGATGGTTGTACTTATTCTTTCCTGCATTGTCGTGATCATTTCCACGCAAACCATTTTTTACGCTTTTGTACTGTCTTATACCACTCTTCCTCCAACACACCCCAAACTCACAGCAAATGATCAGTCGAAGAGACCACAAACCATTGGCACAGGAGCATCCACAGCACCCACAGCTGGCACCTGAGTGTCCTCCAAAAGCTGTCTCTCACACCTCAGGTATGATCGCACACATCTTGCCGGTAACCACCAGGGACTGTGACCTGTGGAGACACAAGCATAACCTCTTTCCCAGGTTATTAACGGAAATGGTCCTTCCCCGTTACCACTTTCCACTTTTCAGGTTACAGTTGAGCCTTGCCTTGGACTTCTTGTTGATATGGTATCTGTGATGAGAAGTGACGTAATATTGGTGGCACCTGTGAGAAGGGGGCATGTTTAAAAACTCATGACATATAATGCCTTATTTAGCCTTTCATGAGGTGTAGATACCCTCCATCTCCCTTTTTTATTGTTGTAATAGATGCTTTAGTGTGCCATGCATACGCTCCACAATGGCCTGCCCAATCGATGAGTGGGGAATGCCGGTCAGAGGCTTGACTCCCCACTGCTGAAAGAAAGAAAAAAGAGAAACAGAAACATAAGCAGGTCAATTGCCTGTCTTAATCTGTCGTGCCATGCCCAAAGAAGCAAATACAGCTAAAAAGTGTTTTCTCATATCGCATGCTTTTTCACCTGTATGGCAGGACGCAAACACTGCTTAAGAAAAGGTATCAACAGACACATGCACATATTTTTATATTCCAAATGCAGCAGGTGAGTGAGGTCAGATTGCCATAATTCTAACGAGGTGAGTCCCTGAGGGTTGTCACCACTAGCTGTTGAAGAGAAGGAGTCCTGGCATTCAGAGCAAGTCTCAGTGATGTCTTTAGCCTGACGCCTTGATAAAGAAAACTGGTTTTGTATTGCCCTGGTGTTTTGGTGGAAAAATGCATGTGAAAGCTGTGCTTCCTCAAAAACATTAGGTACCACCTGAGCCGCCAGAGTCAACGCATCTGCTCATCGATTGCCTTCAACCAAAGGTCCAGGTAGTGCAGTATGCACTCGAATATGTATAATAAAATAAGAAGTCTTGCGATTATTTAATAATTGTAAAAGGCTGTGCATTATGAATATAACAGTGGATTATTAACATCCTGCAGACACAAATTCTCTATACGCTGTACAAGATCTGTACATAAGCAGAATCAGTAACAATGTTAATTGGGCTGTCCCAGTTTTGAAATACATGGACTACTGCAGCTAGCTCAACAATCTGTGGCGATCCCAGGGATCGAGTAATGTCTGACTGCCAAATTTGAGTATGTGGGTCTTGCCATACTATGACTGACTTCCCCATTTTTCCAGATCCATCAGTAAACACAGTCAAGACTTGCTGCACTTCGGCATGGCTTATAATAAAAAATTTTGCTGTAATAATTTATGTGATGGGCTGTGTACTAAAAGCTGTCCGGGTTAATCACAGATAGCTGTCTGGAATTTTAAAGACCTTTGTATTAACCATTGTAACGTGAGAATAGAAACCAGAACAATGGTACACACAGGTTCCTGACCAGCAAGTAATAGTAGGCTCTGCCTACCTTTCATGATCAGTTTGGCAAACATTTCTGGACAAGTAGTGACCGTCTTGTGCTTTTGGTGTGACAAAAAATTCCATTCAGTAATAACAAAAGGTTTCATCCCACTGAAACAGCAGAGCATATGGCTGCCTGGAGGGTTGAATAATACCGGTTGATATGGATGGCTGGGCACACACCACGATGCTTGTCTTTTTGTGATGGTGTTAGCCACATGGTGGAGATTTCGTTTCCCTTTCTCTGTAAGTACTCTGGGTGATAATCAGTGAAGGATCTCCTCACAAAATATCAAACAAGCTATGCAGATCACCGTTACTTAGGCCCAACAACAGTGATGTCCAGTTAAGGACTCCCAAAATTTTCTGTAAATCATTTAAGGTCTTAACATTAGTTTTAAGTTTCACTTGTCTGTTCACAAATTCTCCACCCCAGATACTCCCACGGTGATGACTGCTGTACCTTTTCAGGTGCAATTTTCAACCCTGTTTGAGATAGTGAGTCTTTAGTTAAAGCAAGAGCCTTTTCCATGATCTCCTGTGTTTCTGCTGCTATAAGGATGTCATCCATATAATGATATATAAAAGCCTGGGGGACCTGCATTGTAACAGTGCTCAAAGCCTTTGCAACAAACCACTGACACACTGTGGGACTATTTTTCATGCCTTGTAGCAAAAAGTCCCATCTTGCAGGTTCACTAACACTAATACTGGAAAAAGAAAAAAGCAAATTTAGGTGCATCATCCGGATGCAAGGGAATGGTAAAGGGAACAACGATCATAATAGTTTTCTATTGTCAGAGAAACCAAGAAACGGCTAAGCAGAACTGACATCGTGAACATCCAAACGGCTGACTATGTCTTGTTTAGGCACCTGCTCGAAAGGATCCTTTGGGAGCCGATCCTGAAGTGTATAGGGGTCCAGGAAGGCTGGGCAGTCTTTAAGAAAAAAATCTTAATGGTTCAGGAGCAGGCAGTCCCCAGGTGCTGTAGGAGAAGCCAGCGACAGAGAAGACCATCCTGTCTAAACAGGGAGCTTTGGCTGGAACTCAGGGAGAAAAGAAGAGTTTACAGTTTTGGAAGAAGGGGCTAGCCACTCACAGTGATTACAAAAAGGCTGTGAGGCCAGATATAAGAAGGTTCAGAAGGATGATCTGGGAAATTACAGGCCTGTCAGCTTGGATTTGGTGCCCGGGAAGCTGATGGAGCAGCTCATCCTGAGTACCATCACACAACACATGAGGGACAACCAGATGCTCAGGCCCAGTCATCATGGGTTTATGAAAGGTAGATCCTGCCTAACAAACCTGATCTCCTTCTACAACAGGGTGACCTGATTACTGGATGAGGGAAAGGCTGAGGATGTTATCTACCTTGACTTTAGTAAAGCCTTTGACACAGTTTCCCACAGCATTCTAATGGAGAAACTGGCTGCTCATGGCTTGGACCAACACAGGCTTCGCTGGGTAAAAAACTGTCTGGATGGCCGGGCCCAAAGATTTGTGGTGAACAGAGTTAAATCCAGTTGGCGACCGGTCACGAGTGGTGTCCCCCAGGGCTGGGTTTTGGGGCCACTCCTGTTTAACATCTTTATCGATGATCTAGACAAGGGGATCGAGTGCACCCTCAGTCAGTTTGCAGATGACACCGAGTTGGGTGGGAGTGTTGATCTGCTCGAGGGTAGGGAGGCTCTGCAGAGAGACCTGAACAGGCTGGAGCCATGGGCTGAGGCCAACTGGAGGAGTTTCCATAAGGCCAAATGCCGGGGGCTGCCCTTGGGCCACAACAACCCCCAGCAGTGCTACAGGCTTGGGGAGGAGTGGCTGGAGAGCTGCCAGTCAGAGAGGGACCTGGGGGTGCTGATTGACAGCCCGATGAACAGGAGCCAGCAGTGTGCCCAGGTGGCCAAGAAGGCTAATGGCATCCTGGCTTGTGTCAGCAATAGCGTGGCCAGCAGGGACAGGGAAGGGATCTGACCCCTGTACTCGGCACTGGTGAGGCCGCACCTCGATGACTGTGTTCAGTTTTGGGCCCCTCACTACAAAAAGGACATTGAACAACTTGACCGTGTCCAGAGAAGGGCAACGAAGCTGGTGCAGGTTCTGGAGCACAGGTCTTATGGGGAGCAGCTGAGGGAACTGGGGGTGTTTAGTCTGGAGAAGAGGAGGCTGAGGGGAGACCTCATGGCCCTCTGCAGCTACCTGAAAGGAGGTTGCAGAGAGCTGGGGATGAGCCTTTTTAACCAAGTAGTAAGTGACAGGTCATAGAGGGAATGGCCTCAAGTTGCACCAGAGAAGGTTTAGACTGGATGTTAGGAATCATTTCTTTCCAGGAGGGGTTGTTGGGCTTTGGAATGGACTGCCCAGGGAGGTGGTGGACTCCCCATCCCTGGAGGAATTTAAGAGTCGGGCTGACATAGCACTGAGAGATATGGTGTAGTTGGGAACTGTCAGTGCTAGTATAACAGTTGGACTGGATGATCTTCAAGGTCCTTTCTGACCTAGATTATTCTGTGATTCTGTAAAAAACCAATCCTCTATATCAATAATTACAAGATGCCAGTTTCAGGGAATCATTGCTGGAGAGGGTATTCCTGGTTGTAATGCACCCATATCTTTCATGGCATCATTACTGTGTCAGAGATCATGGAAAAATTGCCATTTACCACTTTTCTTTAAAATAACAAACACCAGGGTGTTCCAAGGACTGATGGTTGGTATGATATGTTTTGCACTTAATTGTTCCTGAACTAAACCATTAAGGTGGTGCAACTTTTCCCTTGGCAAGGGCTACTGATCCACCCGCACAGGTGATTCTGTTTTCCAGGTTAGTTTCAGGGTGGGTTTAGGGGTGGACTGTGATGCAGTGACCCTTAAAACAGATTTAATCCAATTTGAACTCCCCGTGTAGCCATACGGTCACGACCCCATAATGTAATAAGGGTTTCCAATATAAATGGATGAATATTTGCTACTCGGTTTTCTGGGTCCCTTACATGAATGAGATCTTTGTTTTGAAATGTTACAGCATGAGCACCAACCCCGAAAAGTACTTGATTTACCCGAGCTAACAGCCGATGTGGTGGCCATTTGCTCACAGATATTATGGTCATGTCTCCGCCAGTATCTATAATGCCTGTCAGCTCAACAGATTCTTCTGCTTTAGTGAGGGCACATTATGCCAGAGGTTGACTTTGTTTCACTGTCTGAGCCCAAAATATTTGAGGAGTACCTATTGTACAAATCCCAAGTCACCCTGGCTTCATGGCATACTATTATGGGGAGCTGCAGTAAAATAAACAAGCTGAGCAATTTTTTACCCTTTTGTTACTGAAGACAGGGGTCCAGGGGTCCAGGACATAATTCTGATTTCCCCTTCAGAATCAGCATCTATGATCCCTGGTAAAATGAACAACCCCTGTAAGGTTGTAGATGATCTTCCCAGTAATAATGCACTTTTTCCATTTCCCAGTGGTCCATATACTCCTGTTTGTATCAAGGATGCTATGGTATCTAATGTTACTGCCTTGGAGGCTGCCAAGTCCACACCAGCACTGCCTCGAGTGGTTGCACATAATTCTGATGCCTTTGGGGATTTGTTGGACTGATTTGTGTCATGGTGCGATTCCAGCCCACACTCCTTGATTGGTTTCCCAAAATCGGCCTTCCTTCTTTATTAAATTTGGACCGACATTAATTTGCAAAATGTCTACCCTACTTACACCATGGGCAGACATCAGGAGCTTTGATCTGATTTTGCTGATTTAGACATTGTCTTTTGAGATGGCCTGTTTGTCCACAACCAAAACAGACCTATTGTCTCATATTAAGGGTAGCAAAGTCAGCCACCATTGCCCTTATTTATGATCAATAGTGCCAATTCTATTACATGTTTCTATCATTTGAATAAGATTAGGATTGTTCAATGGTAATGACACTTTCTGACAGTCAGCATTGGTGTTAGAAACTGCTAGTTTCAATAACAAAATTTGATGAGCCTCTGTGAGAGATGAAAAACCAGTCCTGCAAGAAACTAAGAAAAACAGCCTAAGAAATTGAAAGTTGAGACTGATCTAAGGAATACCTCAAACTCTTGCAAGACAAAACTATTAGTCATGGGGTGGATGGTGTGGAGGTTGAAGATGATAAATGTGACTGAATAACACAGGATGCAGTTGGAGGAGGGAGACCTGTGGAGACAGGATGGCTCTGCTCTGGTGAACCTGGACAAATTTCAAGGGCCGTCTGTCTGGTGAATAACCTTTGCTTCATTATCCACAAAATGCATATTAAAGTTAACAACCCTCAATATGCTAACGAAGGCTAACATGATCATTCTAATTACATCATCCCATGAAACACCTTACCCTTCCCCGTACATGGGATACATAGATATTTGGGTTGACCCAGGGGATGGACCCAAGGAAAGCATGTATAAATCAAGGCGGGGGGGCCTGGAGAGTGCAGTGGAGTGAAGAAGACAGATGCAAGTGAAAAAGACAGCTGCTTCCTGGAACCCTCGCCGGTGGGATCAGCATAGGAACCCAGACAGTGATCTGTATTTCCCCATTCCCTCTCTCTCCCTCTTTTCCTTTTTCCATTAAGAAATGCAAGGCATATTGTATAGCTTGCCACAACTTGCTGTATACTTAGCTAATTATCATGTGTTCAATTAGTACATTGTGGGTAGTTAATAAATGCTTGGACTTTGAGATGTTGTCTGCTCCATTGGGGATTTGCAAATATGAGTCATTTGTTTCCTCATTTTAGCGGGATGTTACAGCCTCCCCTTCAGGGA